GCCACAGGGGCAGCCGCTGCCCACCAAGGATGTGTAGGGACCTCAGCTCCCACCGGTTCCAGCACCAGCACCATGAGAGCAGAGCCAGCCCTAGGCACCGCTCCCACATCCACAGCCTCACTGGCACCAAGGACAGGCATCGCTCATCTCGCCTATGCTGCAGCTCTGTGCCCATGCACATCCACTGCAGTCCCATTCCTCATCCTTTAGTCTAGATGATTTCTTGACCCTTTGGGTATTTTGGAGCTGTAAATGATTCCTGTGGTTTGGGTTTTGCTGGCAGCACGTGTAATGGTATGGGTCGCTAATTCAGTGGTCTGCAATCAACTCCAGCCTCACCCAGTCAGGTCACTGACCTTGAAGAATTTGTCTATTTTGCTAAGGTTGATTCTCTTCTTGGCGTCCAACTTGTAAATGTTGCTGACATTCCCATCCATGAGATAGAGACCAAACCCCATCACCTGGAGAAGACAGAAAGGTTAGGTTTCATTAGCGTGAAGTCAGCAGCACAAGTCAAAGACAGTTCTTCATCACTCAGCATAAGGAAAGGCCATGTCAGGCTCCTGTATGTGAAGTCAGCAGCACAAATCAAAGACAATTCTTCATCACTTAGCATAAGGAAAGGCCATGTCAGGCTCCTGTACCATCTAACACTCATGAAAAGACTGTATCAAACGTGCAGACATCTGCAAGGATGTGCACGGTAGACAGTGGATTGCTTTTTTTTTTCTGTGCAAAAACACATGGCACTCTCTCAGGTAATTTGTTCCTCTCTCCCACATAACAACCCAAAAGTTTTCTCCACCCAAAGTGAACATTTACTCTGAGGGAAGAATTGAAAACATTTAAAATATTCTCCTGGATTAATTTTTTCTCCCCTTTAATTCAGTACAAATCATTACAGATATTCAAACTACCCACATTATCCTTCAAAGAAATGTAGTTGACTCATACCACAGGAATGAAGTTCTTATGGTAATAGTGACTGCAATCATGGTAATAACTGTCGTACACTAAGGACAAATAAACAAAACAAGCAGATACTTTGGCACATTCATCTTGAGGGCTCTTTAAGAGACCAGAAACCTAGAAGAATCTGCCTTCTGCAGGGAATTATTGCTAGGAATGGATATCAAGCAGAAAATTTAGGGTTGCAAAGTTGGTGGTGATTTTGGCATATTCTGTACAGTTACTCAGGTCAAACCCATGATCCCACACACCCATACACAACAGAAAAACCCCTTCCAGTTCTGGCGAGCACAGTGCACCCACGGGTGCTCTCGTCCACTGGCTGGAGACCACCACCATGCATGTGCTTAGTCCCAGGCAGGTAGAGCTGCTGGCAACCTTGGGAATGACTCAGGGAGAAAACAGCGATGGAGATGGGCAAGAGCAGAGGAAAGGGAGAGTGGAAAGAAGACTTTTATGTAGGAATATGGGAGAAGACTAGAAAGGCCAGGAGAGAAATGATGGGAGAAGGTCCAAGTTACAGGCGGAACTGAGGCAGTTCATAGCACTGTTCGACAGAGGTGACACTTCAGAGCACTGGGATGGGACATCTTTGACCCATGTCCACATCCAGGCTGTTCAGCTACATGGAAGGGGTGAAAGGGGAGAAAATGGGAGGATAGAGGTACTGCAGCAGCAGACACAAAGTAACAGATATCAGACAGGAAACAGGAAGAGGAGGACAGCAGCTTTGCTGCTGCATGCAGAGCCTTCCTGTCCCATAGTAACCCATGTGTCCAGAGGACACTGGCCCTGCAGAGAAAGGATGCATGTGAACCCAAAGGAGGAGAAAATAAAGAAAATTAACATAAACATTGTCCTGGACTAAACAAAAGTGAAGCTATCCAAGCACCCAGCCCCAAAAGCACGGCAGAATCTCACCTTTAAGAGCATGTGTTTCTCACTGGGAGTGAGATACATCTTGTTTTCATAGTAATCCACACAGATGTTGACAATATCAGCCAGCAATTCCTCGTAGCCAGGGATGACCTCCAGTTGTTGGTGCAGACACTGAAACGTCAGCAGAAGCCACATTATCCACATGGACGTTAGCAGAAGCTATAGAGCCTGTGGAGTGTGGAGGGCCCTGGGTCTGATCTTCAGTCCCCATGCAGTCACAGAGATGGACTGGATGGATTTACTGGGGAAAACAGGGGAAGAGTTTCTGGCAGAAACACCTCCCAAGAGCTCTTCTTGCATCTTTCAGACCTTCATCTTTGTCTTGACATAAAAGAGACCTTCAAAGCCACCCAGAATGACCCTGAGAAGGAGATACTGCTAGGACTACAAAGCCTGACCCAAAAACCATCAGATTCAGTGACAATGACCCAACAAACCAGGCAGCCATTGCCACAGTCCAGTCTGAAGCACTCTCAGTCCTGGCAAGATCATTGCCTCCTCTACCCACAGAAAGGTTAACTGGTTCAGAGGAAAGGGACCTGCCTGTGTGATGCGGTTGTGGTTTGCCAGGAACATGGAGAGGTTCTGGGACTCCTGGATGGACTGGGGGTCTGCCATTTTCCGCAGAAACTGGGCAGCTCTGGAAAGGAGAAATCCAACGTCACCAAGGGCCACTCACCCAACGTGAATTCTCACCACCCATCTTCCCTGTGTCACCTGCAGCTGCAGTGCAGCAGCCTCAGACCCCTCTGCAGTTCAGCTCTGCTCTTTTCTCCTTTTACCAAGAAGGAACTGAAACACAGTGGGGCTCAGAGATTTGCCTGAACTCACCAAGAGAGCCTACAACAGCACAGAAACCCAACCTCCAGCCTCCCGAAGTCCACCTGACCCCATGGCTGGGCAGACCAGGCGCTCCCTTGCATATCAGGCACAGTCCCATCCCCACTCCTGCTGCTTCGCCCCCTCTCACCTTTTGTAGGCAGAGTGGTCATTTTTAACACTGCACTTCATGTTCTTCAGCTCATCCAGGACGGCAAACATGTTAATGAACTTGCCCAGCGTGAGGAGATAGGCCTCAGAGACAAAGTCCTTCCTCCGCTCAGCGTGGCACAGGCGCTTCACTTCACTGCAGAACCGCTCAATGGCCTTGCGCTGGAAGGCAGCGGGACAGTGTCATCCCAGCAGCAGCACCACGCCACCCATGGGACCCTCTTCCACCCAACCATTGTCTGCTTTCTTTAACAAAAGCATTTTTCTGCTGGGGACAGAGGCTCCAGGGTCCCTCTCCACTGTCGCCATGAAATGAAGCAGTGTTACAAACCACTGCAGACAAACATCCATGGTGCTGGAAGGGAAGAGCGAGGCTCAAACCCTCTATCTGCACCTGCAACAAGTGCAATGTGTTCTGTAAAATCAGGCAGAAGAGCGAGCTGTGCTGGTGCAGAAGCAGCTCTTCACATCCACCAGTCAACACCCCAGAAAAAACAGGAGCCTGTAGCACCCATTGACTCCATGTAATGGGGACCCTGGTCCTCCATGAACTTCAGGGCTGAGGTGTGCTCATTCCCAACCTGTGTACAAGATTCAGGGTTCAGCAAGGGATGCAGGGCACAGATTTTGCTTTGGACAGGTCTCAAGTATCTGCTGGTGACTGCAAGGAAGAGACCTACTAGGGGGCTTGGGGTTCTCCAGGCTGGCCAGGCAAGCAAGGACAGCACAGCCCTGCTTAGGATAAGTTAACACCAAAGTAATAAATTATTTTTGCCTCCCTTCTCGACCACTTACTTGAAAATACATGAACTTCATAAGCTTGGTGACTTCTGGCTCCAGGACTTCCACTGTCTTCTCATAAATCTCCACGCGGTTTGGCTGTTCATTACATTTCACCTGCATCGCAAAGACAAATCATCCTTGTCAGCACCAGCGTTTCTAACACAGCTGTGGACTGCAATGGCCACCCTCCTCTGCTTGTTTCACAGTGAATCCTGTCCCCATCCGAGGACAGTGGTGGGACCTGAGAGGAAGCTTGTTCTCAAGGTGACCGCAGAAGGGGCTGTTTGTCAGATGTGAAATCTATGCATTATAAACAGGCATAATCCTGACTCTGAGAAATAAGTCTTCTAATGCATTTTTCTGGGGCAGAACACATGCAATATGGGCTCTGGACTTGCTGCAGAATGTGGGAAAGTTATATCATAAAGTTATCTGAAACTTTGTGTTGCTAAGTCCCACAGACACACAAGACACCAGGCTATGGCTCTGCTATAGCCTTGCAGGGATAATTTTATTTCTGCTGCCAACCTGTTAAAAATCACGGGGCTTGTGTGTGGCTAGCAGCAATGAAGTGAGTCACCTCCACTGGAATCCTAGGAAGCTAAATTTAAGGACTTATTCAGTTGTCATCCATCTCATTCCCAAACTATTACTTGGAGTCATCACCAAACTTTTCGGGGAAAACCCAAGGCAGTGCATCCTGCTGCCATCCTCTGATTTTGTTTCCAGTTGCTGCTGACACAAGGCTGTGATGGGGCAGACAGCTCTGGTGCAAATTTAGTAACCCAGCAGCTGATCAGGCACCAAGGGGACAAATCAGCTGGCTTTACAGGTGGGAAGGTGCAGAAGTAGCTTTGCCCTCTCTGTAGTGGTGAATCTAGTGTCCTTGCTGTGGTGTTTCATACTGCAGCTGGGTATGCCCTGTTCTTCACCTGTAAAACCCTAGTTCCTGATGTAGCACAGGGAAGTGCAGCCAATCACTTGATCACTGGATCAAGCAGCCAGGCTGGGGGGCTGTGAATAAGACCCTTCAACTGTAGCCATGTGCCCCATGGCAATGCACAGGGGTCATTGCAAGATCAAATCTGGTGAATCTGTGAATGCACTGTTTGCCATGGTGGTGTCTGGTCCCTCCATCCCACATGGCACTGCCTACAGCCTCAGGGGGAGGACGGGGCAGAGAGCAGGGACCCCACAAGCTGCACTCAGAGGGACACAAATGTCTTGGGGGTGACTGCAATGGGAGGACACTAAACCACCAAAACGGATGATTTGTAGCACTATCGTGCCATCAGCTCAGCCTTCTGTTAGCACAGCCAGGAGGGGCAATAGCAGCACAGCATCAAATATAAATGGGAGATAAGCAAATATCCAATCAGCAGCAGAAACCTCCCCATGGCTGGGTCTCACGAGACCATCAGCAGAGTATAACCCGAGGGGAACTGAGGTTTGACCTTTCTCGGTGAATTGCAAATATGGGCATCGTCAGCCATGTGGAAATATTTATTCCTGGCTCCACAGAAGCGCTGCAAACCCTTTTATCCGTAGGGTTAATGGAAGTGCACTGCACCCGCCCCGACACGCTGTCGGCTGGCGTTTTTTGCAGCGATCCAGCACATGTCCTCATTGCGGAAGACAAGCTCCGAGCTGGAGTCTGAATCACGATCAGAGGGCCATGTGGGCAACCTTACTCATGTCTGTAGGTGTTTGCAGGATGCAGCCACCGAAATTCAGACTGGAGACAGCTGAAGCAGAACAAGCAGTAGAGAAGGAAAACGATTAAACAGGGGAGGAGGTCAGGACCTTCAGGTACATCAGCAACAAGAAAGAGTATTTGGGGAAATGTTTCTGTCACATTGAAGTGCTCCTTCATGCATCCTTGCACAACTCCTTCAATTCTGGGGCTCCTGGAGGAGCAGAGAGAGCACCCTAAGGTCTGGCAGCAGTTTGGGATGCCAAAACTTGCCCCAGCTGCCAAATCTGCTCAGTGCAAGTCAAGGAGCGTGTGAGTCTGCCATGGCTTGAGAGGACCTGCTGTTTTCATCCCAGGGTGCCTGGGCTCCCTTCTTCACACAATGCAGGAGTCCCACTCAGCACTGGGGCAATTTTTAACTGAAGCTGAAGTTTTTGATACCGTGTAATGGTACGATACCATACAATGGTATCAGGAAAGTGTGATATAAACCAGAGCTGATGATTTTACTCTTAACTTCCAAACTAACTGCCTTTGCCTGAAGCAAACTCCATCTCACCACAGCACAAGAGAGAAAAACATTCAAACAGTGCACTGGGACAAAATAACCACACTACTTTAATTGAAGCAAAGGCTACCTGTTCTCCAGAGAAGTGGATAAAGACCCACATGACAAAACCCAGCACTGTCCCAAGTACCATGCTGGACCAGAGCTGTGCTCAGCTGAGTCCTGTTAGCACCTGCAGAACAAACAAGCTGGTCCTGTGGGGATGAAATAACTTCAGGTGTTGACTGCTCTGGGGAGCAGAGGAGGGGATTGTGAAACCAGGAAATCTATATCAGGCAGTTGGTTTGTGGAGGGTGTGACTGAGCTGAGAGGCATTGCTGGAAGGTGTTGGGGATGGAGCTTTCATATACATGAGGGTGCAGTGGAGACAGGGCAGCAGCATAGATCTACTTCTGAAATAGCTGCTATCACTTGATGACCCCAGTGGTTGGGACTTTGATGGGAAGAGGACAATTTGAAGAGTCAGTGGTCTCTTTTCAGCCAATCTCCTTCAGCCTTCTCTGCTATTTTTGTTCTCCTGTCTCCAGTCCAAACTAACCCACACTGAGGACAAAATCAACTAGGGGCTTTGGGAATATCCCTGCCTGGGAAGGGCTCGAGTACCTGGGGGATGGCTCGTGAGCAGCTCCTCCACGTGTAAAGCATCACGGCATACTCATGGCCTTCTTCCAGCATTTCATTCTGAAAGACAGAGAGGCATTGGTGGGGCAGGGCATGCACCAAAGGCTCAGCATTGCTGCTGCAGTGCCCAAAGAACTCACCATGCTGGAGTGCACCGTCGCCTGCTCGATGTACCTGGCAATGCCGGTCACAAAGGCATTTCTGTCTTCAAAATTTGTGTCAAAATTAGCCTATGAGCGAAATGGAGAGATGGGGATTAAAATACAGCCAGTTGTTTGCTCACCTGAAGTTGTCCAGCATGGGATGGGTTGGCAAAAGGCAGAATCAGGAGGGGTCCTGAAGCACGGCAGCAGCCTATGTACAGTTTGAGATGCTGGAAATCACTGCATCTCTAGGAATTAGATTCATGCATGCAGCCTGTGATGCTCCTGAATCACACATGTTCATTAGAGGAAATCCTGCAGGTTATATGTGTGAAAATATGGCAGCCGAGACTGATGAGCCCTTGTAAAATCAAGTGAAACCAGGTGGGGATCAGTTACAGGGAACTGCAGCCACATGAGAGAGGAAACCTACAGCAATTATTCTAATGATTTTAGCCTGGTAACTCAAAGACAGATGCAGCCTCATTAATTTCTATTTGTGCCCTGGCTGCTAGGGGAAGACCACATCCTGTCA